ATTTTTTTGATATATCTGCTGCCGTTACATATTTGGCTTTTGTACTTGACTAAGCTATGCATTTGTACAAAGTAGATATCCAACAACATCAAGTGTAAACAAGAAATCAATTATGGAACTTTGTCATAGTCATCATCAGTCTGGTATTATAATGATTTCATATAGTGTTATTAACCTTCAAACAAAAAGAACATGATACTAAATAGGATTTATCATTTTTCATTAAAACTAAGTTGTTGAATCCATCCACAGATCATGAAATACATCAATGTGATCTTGATTTTTCACATCTGAATTTTTCATCTTGAAGCTTATTGACTTCAAATAAACTGAAAATAAATTGAAAAATATTTGAATTAAAAAAATTTGCTTAAATTTTTTTGGAATAATTAACTTAATTATCATTCTCATCAACTTGCTTCAAAAAAACTCTCATATCATAAGTATCAAAAAGTTGTGTATTTGCAAAACAAGAATGTGATCACTGACAATTAGCATCAAGACTCAACTTCAAGAAACATTTATGAACGGCAATGTGAACTTTCAACCAAGTCAATGATTTTTTCCATTTGTCAGAAAAAATTAAGAAAAAAATATTTTTAATCACTAATAAAAAAAGTACTAGTATGTAAACATAGAGTATGGCATTGACTTTTTTGAATCAATATATGATCTAAATAAATTAGAGAAATGTTTTTAAAAAAGGTCTATCCAATTGCTCAAAGTAAAACTATCCAAAGAGAAATAGATTTTTTCACACAAATATGAAATACATGATAAAATAAAGTTCAATGAAAACCTGAATCGAGATTAAAAAAAATGGGTGACAAGGTAAAACTTGAATCAATCACTCACATACTTGCTACTTGCAAATGAGACACAAGATAAAAATGCCAGAATACTTAGCTTTGTTTATTCCCTAGAGTGTCAAAATACTTCTCAATTATGTAATAAAAAATCTTGTCAAAGTCTGATGTGTCTCAAAGAATGTCTTGAGGCTGTCTAACTAAAGCCTCATTGTCATATTATGACATTTCAGCACGATACAAACATTAGCAAAGGTATGTTTAGTAGGAGTGGAAATTGCTAGCCCTACAATCTTATGAAACCCAACTAGGAGTTACATATTGCAAACAATCTATCTCCTTATAGCCATCGTTAGAACCTTTGAAACTTCCTTCTCTATTAGTCTCTTGTCCTGGTAGAATAGATCGCTGCTAATTAGTTAGAAAGGAAAAAAAGAATAAGAAACAAAAAGAAAAATAGGGAAGAGATCTAATGCAAAAAAACATCATCAAGAGACCGATATTATTTTCAAGTGCTAAGTTTCAAATTTCAAATGTGAACTATCCATCAATAATGATGTATTGTATGATGATGATAGATTACGATATCTTTTTGTCTTCAGACGTGATTGATTAGTCAATTTATTAAATGATCTATTCATAAAGTGATTGATTAGTCAATCTATTAAATGATCTTTTCATAAAGTGATTGATTAGTCAATCTATTAAATGATCTTTTCATAAAGTGAATACTATTCTGCTTGAATATAGTAGATCTAAAGAGGAAAAATTCGCATTCTGATCTTCTTTTGTTCCTTGGCAGGCAAGCAATGAACAAATTAGAGAGCGAGAGATTTTAGAGGAATGTTGATCCTACAAATCATGTCATACAAAATCTAACATCAATCTTACATATAGCATAAATAAACCACTGAAACCATTTGATGGACTTATTCTTTTTGGCTTGGACTCTCTCTAATACAAACTGTTAGTGATTCATCATGAGCAAAAATGAATATAATCACAACCAATAGAAAAAAAACGTAAATTCAAATCAGTAAAGATACGTTCATTATATTCTAAATCATCTAATAAAAAAATACTATATTTTTGTCACAAGGAGCTACACCTAGCCCTCATAAATAGTGACAAATTAATCCAAGTCTTACTAACTAGAGAAATGCTCATCCTAGTTAACAAAATCACAATCAATCAACAACAACAAATATTACTATCTGATTTTAGACTTTCATTTAAAAGAATTAAAATTTTGTCTATCAATTTTTCTTTTAAATTTTATTATATATTGATTCTTTTAAAGAACCTGTCAGAGTTTTTATAAAATTTATTTTTGATCAAATCAGTCATATATTGGATTTTAATCTTCTTTAAATTAAACACACAATAAGCATGAAAGTGTGGATTTCAAAAGATTTTATTACTTCTTTTTAGTGTTACAATTATTTGAATATTGTAATCATCTTGATGACATGATCATTTTTCTTGAATGATCAAGTCATGAAGTTGAGAGTTAGCATTTTTGCATTTGATTAACATTTTATAATTTCAAAAAAATTCAATTTTCTTTAAGATAAATATATCAATAAAAATTTTATTTATATTATTGCATATAGTTTTATACTTAAAAAAATATTAATGTAGGTGTCAGCTTTTGACAAGCCTCAATTATTTCAACATTTTATTGATTGATTTTTTATAAATATGAGATTGAATCTTCAAAAAAATGTAAGAAATTTTTTATATAATCCAGAATTGATAATAAATAATGATGTATAATAATGATAATTTTACCAAGTAATGTTAATTTTTCATGATTTATGATAAATTTTTATGTTCTTTGAATGGATTATTGCAAGCTATACTTTAATTTAGAATTAATGACATGTGCATGGTGAGCTTGTCAAAAAAATTTAAATGAGTTAATATGTATTTCATTTTATTTGAACAAAATATACTCGTATTAAATTATTTTTATTAAAAAGAATATTAATGTAACATACATAAAATAAAGTTCATACTTGATTACTTAAGTACCAAGTTTCATCTTGTGGTTTTGATAGTCACAATTTAATCAATTTTGTTTAGAATCATAATATATGAAACGCGTTATCTTAATATAACAGTTAAAATTCTCATAATTTTACTACCAAGTTTGATCTTGTGTGTATTCTAAGTCCAACAATTAAAAAATTTCAAGCTTTAATCAAATCAAATTACACCAACATAAGAATTATGCAATCTTGATATTGCCGTAGTCTACAAAAAATGTCAATTTTTTCTTAAATTTCTGTGCAGTTTATACAGTAGAAAATCATAGTCCATCATGATAAACTTACAATCTCAGCTAGCATCATTGAAGAATAATTAGAGTCTTAATTTATTCCTTGTTATACTCAAGCCAAATGATAGTGAAGATGTTAAGTGTAAAGATGTTATATCATAGATTTTTGTTTGATGATGCGATCAAATTGAAACTACAATAGCATTTTATTTTGATTTTGATCACCAGTACGCATCTTCATTATTTACTTGTAAATGCTTCATAAATTTAAACGTCACTAGGTTACATTAAGAGTCATAAAAAAGAATTATACAATGTTTTGTATATAACTAGATTACATACTTATCATTGTTAGAACCAAAACATGGAGTTTAACTATAGATTGTGGATCAGAGATAATTTTACTATGTCGCAAGTCTATAGACTAATTTTATAGAGGTAGCATGCATATTCCTCCTACTTCACAGTAATTAGTTCACACATAGGGGTTTGAATTTTGATAGATTTCTAATTGTGTTGATGATGTGTTGTGGTAATAATTCCTAGATAAATCATGATTTTGAACTTGAGGTTATCTCTTTTACTTCATGGGGTATGATGGAGTGATTTTTAACCAAGGCTTACAATGGAGTTATGCAGAGTGCTTTGTCATTTTAATGACATGATGCCCAAGGCTAGACTACAAGGACTCAGGGTATACAAGTTAACCATGGATATCACTTTTTTATATAATGTGTATTTATTGCTCTCTTGAGTATAATCCTACGTGTAATCAAACGGATCAAGTCATGTCAGCTGAACTCACCGTTTTATTGTATCACTAAAAAATTCTAGGTGCACTGTAATGGCCGCTATGTAATGGACGCTATGGACCCACCTTATTTCATCATTTTGACTTTGATCGGCTTCACTCCTTTTGCTATATTAGGAACCCTTGTTTCATTTTCTTTGGGTATCTAAGTGGTTTACACTCACTTGTGATTGTACGAATATATATTTTGCAAGGAAAACATATAATAAATCACCATGAAGACCAACGTTTGACAAGAAATTCGATACATATGTTCTCCATCATTGTACTTTGGGATCCGAGTTGTTTTTATTGGCTTAAAAACTTGGTAGTATCGAATATAGGTTTTCATGATATGCACTCATGCATTTCAACATTTTAAGTACAACTTGAGCGAATGAAAGTTTTGTACGATGAGATTTGCCTTTTCTCCAAATCAAGTAGAGGATTTGGGGAGAAGAGCCATCATTTTCTTTTTCACGGATTGTTGAAACTTCAATTCTTCACCATACGGCTGAAAACGAAAGATTTTGGATGGCGTTATCGTGCCATGAAGCAGAGTTTGAGTACAGTCTGATTGAGTGCCCTTAGGTTAGCCCTGTAATACCCAGCGTCAGAACACATTACTGTTCGCATGAACTTGGCATTCTACTCAAAGTTACTCACTCTTAATATTTGTAAGGCTTAGATCTGATAGTACGGCGTCTGGAGAAGATTAGAAAGCTGCAGGACTTAGTTCAGACTTCAGCTGGTATATGTCATTTAAGCACTGCCTTCGGGTACACCCAAATTCATCTGACATTTCATGGAAATGTTCTTAAACTAAAGTTAAGGGAATTTCCGAAAATACTTAAAAGTCAAATATGGAGCCATTTCTGTAACTTGGAAAAACAAAGCATTGTTCTTCAGGAATGGGTTACAGTTCGCATTATGGTCCAACCTAACATGGAAACTACTGGAAATCACATGGGGCCAAATCACTGCAATTCATTCGTACTGTGTTGAACCACTGCAATTTAGTGATAACCAGCACCAGCAGTGTCCCACGGACTCCTCGTGCACCTCCTTCAGATTCGTGAATGTCCCAAGTATAAGAACCGTTCAAAGAGAGCATTGTATTCAGACAGACCCATTCTCTCTCTCCCAGTCCTGGATCTATGGCAAGCTCAGTAGCTTCTGGTAAAGGATCCCCAACTTTCTCCATTCTGCTTCACGTTTAAACTTCGTACATTGAACGCATACACGAGCTTTGAATCCCATATGATAGCAAACATCAGAGCAGTCAGCTGCTTTTGCACAATTTGTTTCGAGGAATCATGGATGGTCTTGATCTGTGGCTGGCCATGGTTATGATTTAAAATCTCATTTCTCATGCTTCATCTAATGTCTAATTTTGGCTCGGCTTCAACACTAAAATTGTTTCTCGTTATTTTCCTATTGCAGGTTCATCTCTCAAGATGGCGTTGTCTACGAGGGCAGTCTTTCTGCTGCTCTTGTCTACCTTGGTACTATACCATGGTCAGGCTTCTTCCAACGGAGATACTGTCACTCGGAGAATTCAGCATGGATTCAAGGACGTCACAAATACGGCCGAGACGTTGAGAATTGCAGCAGAGAACATCGACATGTTCAACGCCCCCCAGCAGGGCATCTCTATCGCTCAAGGACTCGCAGCCATCAATGCCAAGATTGGTCATGGCATCGAAAAGATGAAGACTGAGACTTTACCTGCACTCTCAGACTCGGACGCAAACCTCGTTGTGGAATCTCTCAAGGAATTTGTTAAAGTTCACAAGGCAATGCTCCATCTTGTCATCGAGAAGACCGAGCTCCCAGCTATGATTGCCTCCTTCGATCCTATCAGGATGACACTTGTGAATATGGACGACGTTGTCTGCAGCTTGGCCTCTGATATTGTCCAGCTTATTCCAACCCAAAGGCCAGCTGCACAGAAGCAATTTGCTGACCTCCATGACACCCTTCAAGACGCCGTGCGCAAGTACAGCATGTCTTTGGGAACAACTGAATCAGACGGTGCTCTCACGGCCACCACGGCGAAGATCATCGAGGGACTGAAGACTGTCACAGACATGTCCGACAAGCTCCGAGTGGCGACTGAGAAGATCAACATTTTCAACGCAGCTCAGCAGGGTGTTGTCATCGCCACCGGATTCACAACGATCATCCAGAAAGTCTCGGAAGGGATTGTCCGAGTGGACAGAGTCACCTCAGGTCCGCTTCCAGACGCAGATGCGCAGCTCGTTGTCGACGCCCTCACCACATTCGTGAAGGTGCACCAGGCCTTGCTCAATGTTGTCATCGGAAAGCACGGCATCATCGCCATGGTTCCCTTCTTCGAGCCCATTCGGATCGCTCTCGTGAGTCTAGAGGCCGTGATCGACAGACTGGCGTTCGACTTGATTGCTCTAATTCCTACTCAGAAGAACTCTGCAACCATTCAGTTCCAAACGCTCGACGTCACCCTGGACAAGGCCGTGAAGACCTACAGCTACAGCCTGGAATCAGCCGAATCAGAAGCTGCTCTCACCGCCACCACGGCGAAGATCATCGAGGGGCTGACGACTGTCACAGACATGTCCGACAAGCTCCGAGTTGCGACTGAGAAAATCAACATATTCAACGCAGCTCAGCAGGGTGTGGTCATCGCCACCGGATTCACCACGATCATCCAGAAAGTGTCCGAGGGCATCATCAGAGTCGACAGAGTCACCTCAGGTCCGCTTCCAGATGCCGATGCGCAGCTCGTTGTCGACGCACTCACCACATTCGTCAAGGTCCACCAGGCCTTGCTCAATGTTGTCATCGGAAAGCACGGCATCATCGCCATGGTCCCCTTCTTCGAGCCCATTCGGATCGCTCTCGTGAGTCTAGAGGCCGTGATCGACAGGCTGGCGTTCGACTTGATTGCTCTAATTCCTACTCAGAAGAACTCTGCAACCATTCAGTTCCAAACGCTCGACGTCACCCTGGACAAGGCCGTGAAGACCTACAGCTACAGCCTGGAATCAGCCGAGTCAGATGCCGCTCTCACGGCCACCACGGCGAAGATCATCGAGGGACTGAAGACTGTCACAGATATGTCCGACAAGCTCCGAGTCGCAACTGAGAAGATCAACATTTTCAACGCAGCTCAACAGGGTGTGGTCATCGCCACCGGATTCACGACGATCATCCAGAAAGTCTCGGAAGGTATTGTCCGAGTGGACAGAGTCACCTCAGGTCCGCTTCCAGACGCAGATGCGCAACTCGTTGTGGACGCCCTCACCACATTCGTCAAGGTCCACCAAGCCTTGCTCAATGTCGTCATCGGAAAGCACGGTATCATCGCCATGGTTCCCTTCTTCGAGCCCATTCGGATCGCTCTCGTGAGTCTAGAGGCCGTGATCGACAGACTGGCGTTCGACTTGATTGCTCTAATTCCTACTCAGAAGAACTCTGCAACCATTCAGTTCCAAACGCTCGACGTCACTCTGGACAAGGCCGTGAAGACCTACAGCTACAGCCTGGAATCAGCTGAATCAGATGCCGCTCTCACCGCCACCACAGCGAAGATCATTGAGGGACTGACGACTGTCACAGATATGTCCGACAAGCTCCGAATCGCAACTGAGAAGATCAACATTTTCAACGCAGCCCAACAGGGTGTGGTCATCGCCACCGGATTCACGACTATCATCCAGAAAGTGTCCGAGGGGATCGTCAGAGTCGACAGAGTCACCTCAGGTCCGCTTCCAGACGCAGATGCGCAGCTCGTTGTCGACGCCCTCACCACATTCGTCAAGGTCCATCAAGCCTTACTCAACGTGGTCATAGGAAAGCACGGCATTGTGGCCATGGTCCCCTTCTTCGAGCCCATTAGGATCGCTCTCGTGGGTCTAGAGGCCGTGATCGACAGGCTGGCCTTCGACTTGATTGCTCTAATTCCTACTCAGAAGAACTCTGCAACCATTCAGTTCCAAACGCTCGACGTCACCCTGGACAAGGCCGTGAAGACATACAGCTACAGCCTGGAATCAGCCGAATCAGATGCCGCTCTCACCGCCACCACGGCGAAGATCATCGAGGGACTGAAGACTGTCACAGACATGTCCGACAAGCTCCGAGTCGCAACTGAGAAGATCAACATTTTCAATGCCCCTCAGCAGGGTGTGGTCATTGCCACCGGATTCACCACGATCATCCAGAAAGTGTCCGAGGGCATCGTCAGAGTCGACAGGGTCACCTCAGGTCCGCTTCCAGACGCAGATGCGCAGCTCGTTGTCGACGCCCTCACCACATTCGTCAAGGTCCACCAAGCCTTGCTCAATGTCGTCATCGGAAAGCACGGCATCGTCGCCATGGTCCCGTTCTTCGAGCCCATTAGGATCGCTCTCGTGGGTCTAGAAGCCGTGATTGACAGGTTGGCCTTCGACTTGATTGCTCTAATTCCTACTCAGAAGAACTCTGCAACCATTCAGTTCCAAACGCTCGACGTCACCCTGGAGAAGGCCGTGAAGACCTACAGCTACAGCCTGGAATCAGCCGAGTCAGATGCCGCTCTCACGGCCACCACGGCGAAGATCATCGAGGGACTGAAGACTGTCACAGACATGTCCGACAAGCTCCGAGTGGCGACTGAGAAGATCAACATTTTCAATGCAGCTCAGCAGGGTGTGGTCATCGCCACCGGATTCACGACGATCATCCAGAAAGTCTCGGAAGGGATTGTCCGAGTGGATAGAGTCACCTCAGGTCCGCTTCCAGACGCAGATGCGCAGCTCGTTGTGGACGCCCTCACCACATTCGTGAAGGTCCACCAGGCCTTGCTCAATGTTGTCATCGGAAAGCACGGCATCATCGCCATGGTTCCCTTCTTCGAGCCCATTCGGATCGCTCTCGTGAGTCTAGAGGCCGTGATCGACAGGCTGGCGTTCGACTTGATTGCTCTAATTCCTACTCAGAAGAATTCTGCAACCATTCAGTTCCAAACACTCGACGTGACCCTGGACAAGGCCGTGAAGACTTACAGCTACAGCCTGGAATCAGCTTCAGATGCTAAAACCGGGAGTCCTGTCATGGAGAAGATCGGAAACGGTATCAAAACTGTTACAGACATGTCGGTTGATTTGATTCAGAAGATTATTGCCAAGTACTGAAAGCAATATTCCGAGATAAGGACTGCATTTTGGATCAATCAGAGGACTGTTTTTGATTTCACACATTTGGTTCTGTAAGCGGTTTGTCCCCAGAATTGGATTTCGTAGTCCATGTGGCAGATGTTAGTCACTGCAAGGTTTTAGATGTAGAGACTTGCTTCTCTTGTATAGTCCAGTTGACGAGAACAACAAATCGGGTCACTTCAACGCCCATAGAGGATTGCAGTCTTCATATAAAAGCTTTCAAGAATGTTTGTGCCTCCATGAATCATACAATAAACGATGACTGATAGTAATTCTCTAAGTCACTGATGATCTCATGTTTCTCCTCGATTTGTCATGCAGACTATGAAGTTTTCCCTTTGGATACGAGATTAAGACTGTGTTTCATTGAATTGTTACAAATTTATCATGAAGCACTCTTCATGTGTGAGCATGGCAGTGAGATTGAAGAAGTGATCATGTTTAGTCTGATTAATTTTGAATCTTCATGGTAGTCTAAGTCAGTGAGATAAAGCATGCGCAATTCCTGAATTTCGTCCTCCACTTGTGTACTCGAGAAGAAGTATATGGCAGATCTGTTAAAAGGAAAATCACAAAACCTTGCTCTGTCTGACACAGGCTCACCTTATCTACGAAGGTGAGGTTCTGTATGTAGATTTTCATGCGTAGAAGCTCTTTATCACGAGCGGTAAGTTACGAAAGCAGGGCTCGAAGGTGGCCGAATGAGATAGACGTGAAACAGAGGAGAAATCTTGTGACGAATGATGTATATTTCGTTTCTTGTAGATCAGATTATTCAACTTCATGATTTGGGATTCTGTGCTTAGACGATAACGCGTACCATTCCGACTCAGGTACTTCCAGCTACTTGATACCTTACCAATTTGAAGGCAATGTCCAGAATTGTCGTTAAAAAACCCTTGAAGCGGATTGCTGTCCGATCCGCGTGCAAGGGGAAGCTCAACTTCAAACTGGTACTCTCAAGACTTCTTCAGTTTAGTGAGTACAACTTTGATGTACTGATTCCACGTTATTCTCAAAAAGATATCTTGAAGACGATTCATGTCCTCTGCATAGTCTTCCTTTTCCCTCTCTGTTCTGTTCGCTCGAAGGCCTCGCGTTCCGTTTCAAGTTTACGTGATTACAGTAGTCAAAGGCATGCAGGTATATGCAACTCCGAGACAAAATCGACAGAGCGTAATTTGACATTGGCTTGTCTGATGCATGCTGGCCCTCCATTTCCTGCACGCTGCCCGAACATTTCACCCCTCGTGCAGGCCGTCCGTTTGCTTCGTCGAGCTTCCTCGTCGCCAGGCTGACATACTAGGTCAACACTGCTGACGTAAGCGTCATCACGCCCACCAATGACTCCTGTGAAGAATGGAGAGGACGACTGTCACGAATGTTCTCACCACTGCTTCGGAGAACCTCGGAGATGATGTCTTGCAAACTCATGCCAGCGGGTCCATATCTAGGGCAGATCTAGGGTCCATATTAAGCAGATTCTGTGAAAATGGGAGTTTAATGTAATCTGATGAACAATGTAGATTTTATATCGAAAGATATGGCGAGAATGAGTTCCACGCACAGCAATAACGTTTTCTGAAAGGGTTACTTTGTCGATGGCGATCTATACTCTACACTGTACAGGACAGCTCACTAAACAGGCCTACGGTATCAACCCTCGATGTTCTGTGCAGATACCAAGTAAAGAGTTTACATCAATACTCGACGTGCAATGTCCTTGTCACGGCTTACAAAAAAGGGAGTCTTAGCAGTCCATCACATTGCTGAACTAGTTGTATTTTCTACTTAGAGAAGACATTAGAGTGCTTTAGAGATAAATTATCATTCACTGAGAGACGAAGTTCACATCTGCTGCAGGTTACCTCAACATCAACAGAAAAACTGTAGATTTGAAATATTTAAAAAACCTTGGTAACAAGACATGACTTGATATTTATCCGAGATAATTCCATTTTTCCCTTCTGTTATTCCTCATCTCGATTGAACGAGATGAGGAATAACAGAATAATTTAGATACAATGTAATGTCAGTTAGTGCAGACGTTCGTACTTCATACCAGGAAGTCTGTCTGTTGTAACATTGTGCTGTTGTAAACAAACCACCCCTACTATCATTACATCCATAGAAGACTATAAGTTGAGATAAACAGAGCCATATATGACATTTGATTGTCCCCGTCGAGATCTCATAATTCAACGGGATAGCACCGAAGCGGAAAGCAACGCTTTTCGAATGTTCTCACCACAAAAGTCAACGAGGATCAGCGTTGGAAGACATGGATTACCTTTTTGGTCAAAGTGGAGAAAGAAACAGAATGCTTAATCCTACGCCCCTAACTAGTTGGACCATAGTCCAACTACAAAATGAGGGGACTGATATCCAACCCACTTGTCCTGATATAGAATATCTCTCGAAACTATTCCCATGGGATTCCCATTTTTAATTTTAAGATGGCACTTTCGCTAGTCCGTCTCCGTATTCTTTATAAGAAAATACTCTGCTAGATATGGGAATGCATTGGAACACTGGTTTCAAAATCGAGTGGAAGACTGAAGTGTCACTTGGTGGATGAGAGTAACTGTTTCGTCAATGGTGGTTTCGGTAAGGTCTCCCATCGATTCTAAGTGTTATAAAATGCTTCACGCTACAAATGTTATGGAGGTTATTTGATTGTCCATACTGAGAAAATACCAATAGGAGTTTGCCAATAAGATGCTAGTGCCAAAACCAAAGTAGATAACATGAGAAGACAAAATACAACAAAAATTGGAAGTTTATTATCGCATGACGAGAAAACTATGTGATCTAGTAGTTGTTAGAAGAAGTTGGACAAATATCCCATATACGATGGAGAGGTGACCATAACTTATAGAATGTTACTTTTTGAGAATAGGCGATGTTTAAAGTACGAGAACGTGAAGGATTATATCAACTGGCAGAAGTCGGCGATGCACACCGAGATTAAAGTGCTCCAAAAGAAGGGAATCGAAAGGAGAGAGACAGACACAAAAGTGACTTGTATAGAACTTGATGTACTTATGTATCAATTTTCAATATATTTTTTCAAAAAAATGACATAAAGTATGCCATGATTATATGTTTTTCTGTTTCTTCTTTGCTCAAAATTTAGACTTATGATCCATAGACTAAAATATTAATAAATTGATTAATTTACAAGGTTTCACACTTTTCCTTAGTATAACCAACCATAACTTGTACTACTAGGTCTTGATTATGCTCTTCCTTACCAATAGTTTAAGATTATGCATCTTAACCAGGCCTCATAATTTCTCGCAAATGCTAGGATTGCTGGAATAAAGATAGCCCAATTCATATAATTTCTTATATGTTTTGATCGGAGTGAAATCAACTCTATCTTTCTTCCATCTTTGCAATTCCAGCCCCGGCTGACAAAATGAACTAGAAGCAATACTAAACTGATAGTTAGTCTCATAAACAACAATGAATTAATAGATAAAAAAATATAATTTTGAATGTAAATATGAATCAACTAGATTATCGTATTTCTGGCATGAGCATTTTCATTTCACTATTTCGGGATCGTAGACTCACGTTACCTGTTGTTTCATCTTGTACTACTTGATGGAATCTTCACATCCTTTTTACTCTCTTGCTTTGAATAAGTACAAACTGCATCACGTTATGATCCGAGCCTGTTTAAGTGATGTTAATGCATACCCGAAACAATTAGAATTGTTGCAATACTCTTCCTTTTACCTTGCGGGTGCACACAGGCGCTTGTTAATGCTTATTTAGTAAGTGATAAAACGTGGAGAAATAATGAGAGGCAGATTGTATATTCCATCGTGGGGATATACTACGGAACCTCAAAAGGATAGGGTTAGGTTCTGCCACACCAATGAAGGATATCATTTGCCGAAAGTTGTTGGGGGCACCGCTCAATCATCTCACAAAAGAGAGTGGGTGGATTTTCCGAGGCTTTTGGACCTAGGGTGTGCTGGTAAAGATGACATCCCCGGGGGACTTAGAATCGTACGTGTATTTACGGATTAATTTATCTGCGTCTTAAAATATGATTCATCCCCTCAGTACGTCTGCACATATGGTTGCAAGAAGCGCAGAGCCACAAAATAATTCGGTAATTTTCCACCCTGGCAGTCTACGGATACCGTATAATCTTATGTGCAACCACTCCTGTCTTTACTCGACTGCATGAATCGTACGTCTGAGGGTCTGATCAACGCTAACCACGTAAACCTTGTGGCTCCGCGCTTATGCCCGCTCACAAAGAAAGCCTACAAATCCGTACCACACCTTTCAGACGAACCCAGTAGACTCGGAGGAGACCCTCGAGGATACCTTTTCGTCAGTCACAAAGGGAATTTTAGGGACCAACTAATATAGCGAAAAGGACGGGAGGACCTCGTCAGGCCCTTGTACTTAGATGAAACCGAACGGACAACATGTTACCCTTTTAGCAAAAAATTTCGATAGTTCTACTTTAAATTCAAATATACTGACTATATAGGTTAAATCACTTGAAATCGTAATTTCATTCTTCTTCTTAATTATTGTGGACAGCTGATTATCTCTGTATATGAATGGAGTTAAACTATTAACTATTTGTTGCACAAGATTATTATATATATATATATATATTCATACCCTTGCATGTTGCAGTTAATTCCTTCTTTGGATTAAATTTCTATTTTTTGTCTACTGAAGTCGGTTGGGATTGGGATACTAATACCCCTAGTTGCTAGTTTGTAAACCCTTTCCTTGTTTTATTGGAGTTGTTTTACTTAGCTCGTGGACGTAGCCTAGAAGGATGAACCACATACTCTTGTGAGTACTTGTGCTTTTTGATTATGTTTCATTGTCACCAATTCCTAATTAGCCTGCAGAATGTGATATTAGAGCGATAAATCGAGGTATCTCGATAAAGTCGGCAACAAAAGCCGTCATGTGACAAACGCATCCAGTTTGTGATGAAGATTGCCGTGAAATCAATCGTGCAAGACAATATCAATCCCATTCCGTGATCAAACTTGTTTTGCGGCTTGTCTCGCGTGTTGGTAGTGTAGTGGCTGTTATAGTCCAATGATTCAACGTTGTAAAGCACTGGAGAACTTGAAGGAGAGGCGAATTTGCAAGAATTGAATAGTCAATCGATGAATCAATATCAGCGTGTGGCACTCTTGTCTACAAAACGAACAGAGAAGAGAACAAAGGAGACGAGCTCGTTCATGCTGCGTAATTAGTGATGAATCAATATCAGTGTGTGGTACTCTTGTACACAAAACAAACAGAGAATAGAGGAGACGAGCTTGTTTGTGTTGCGTGACTATCATTTCGTTCAACCTGAGATTGTTAACATTGTAAAAAGGAGGCAGTACTAGCGGGACAAAACTGAAAATCTTTGACAGAAAACATAACTTCATGTAGATCACACAATGCAGATGAGGAACCATAAGAACAATTTTGTGACAGGAAAAGAATCACCACAAGAAGACCATAGGTCAAGAGGTGCAGGTGAAGACAAAAAACAACTCGATCAAGCAGGTCGGACGAGTGCAGCGGAAACGAGGCGAGCTAACGGGCAGGCGACCTGGGCAGTGAGAAGGTGCGTGACGAGTTCCAGCGCAGACGGCCAAGCAACGGCAGCGTACACGGATCAGTTCGCGCGGCGAGACGGTTGCAACGTGCAAGTACGTGAGCGCACGGTGCGTTGCGGTCTGTAAGACCAGATGTTGTATGTGTGAAATAGAATTAGAAGTAGCCAAGGAGTTAATCATGGTTTGTTTAGTCTAGCTAATAATAATGAAGTCTAGCTAGTTGTGACTAAGTCTAGTTAGTTGTAACTAAGTTTATCAAATTATAACTATGTTTAGCTATAATGTCTATATTTGGTGGGATAACTATAGAATTTTTAGAAGATTTGAGTGAGCACTTTTTTTTGTCTTATACAAAAGTCTAGATTTCAAGAGAAGAGAATTTTGACTTCATGTTTAATTTTGATCGGTTTGAATAAGTAATAGAAACTTCGTTGGTTATATTTAGTCTAATGTTGACTTAGTGGTAGGTGGAGGTTCTAGAAGTTGTAAAGGCACAAATGGCATGTCGTCACCTTAATCTAGGGATTAGTAAACATCTAAAATGTTTAGGAGTCCAATGGTATGTTGCCACGTTTTGATAACTAGTCAAACTAACTATGATTTATCTTGTCGTGCGACTCAGTATCGCCATACATCATACATCGCTGACATGCTCTACTCACAACTCACACATACATACACAAGGAACGAGAGTGTCCACACACAAAGGTATCACAACTAAAAGTAATGTCGAAACACGAATACACAAAGAGTCGAGCCAAACTCACTACTCGTAAGTAGACTAAAAGTCGAAGCTAAGGGGAAAAACCCCGACGCGTAAGGCTCAACTCGAAGAACTGACAGTTCTTCGAGTTTGCCACGAATATAACCCACGGGAGGTGTCGACTCCATCCAACGTTCCTCGCCCGTCTGCCGCGGCCCAACGTTAGCCGCCTCCCAACGTTCCCCGACTCCAACTCAAACTCAACGTGTCTCAACTCAAACCGACCCAACATCTCGAGCCATGACAGCTGTCGTGCGACTCAGTATCGCCATACATCATACATCGCTGACATGCTCTACTCACAACTCACACATACATACACAAGGAACGAGAGTGTCCACACACAAAGGTATCACAACTCGCCCCCCTAGCTGGCGGTCAGGTCCCTCTGACTCCCAGGTAGCCCTATCTACAACTACATGCTATGCACCTTCGTGGGTGCGCGAACCAGTAGGCCGGATGCTATGTCGCCCCATCGTTAGTCGCCTATCTGCAATTCATAACATGTGAAGATCAAGTCATCTACCCTCTGAAGTACATCGAGGACAAACCCACCGTCCAGTAGGAACAACATCGATAGGTGGAGTCAAGCACGACATGTGCCATCCCCTAGAACACCTATCACACACCAACATATGGGCCGCCTGATCAGTTGACCCACATAACATGCACCTCAAGCCGGCACGTACAATCGCCAAGCTTGGGTCTATAGTACCATCCACGTTTGGGAGGTGGCATGGCGCACAGTTGCGCACATGATCCTTCTAAACGACACCGTCACGACCCTCCAACATGAGAACTCCAGAAGGTAACACCTCTCGCACTCGCAGGATAGTGCGTCCTGCCGTCACATCCAACGTAGTCGGTGCAGTCTGCTGTAGATAGACGTAGTCTCCCACGCGGAACCTACGAATCGATGGTCGATAACCTCCTCCTCGAATAGTTGCATACCGCAACGTATCTCGGTGCTGAGCAATCGCAAGGTTCTCAAACGCTGCAGGCATAACTCTCCGAAAGAGCACTGCACGTTGAGAACACACTCTCACCCACATATCTGGATCATCAAGGTTCACCACCTCGCTAGACTCACGACGAATCGCTGCAGGCAAGTCTGGATCTCGGCCGTACAATAGAAAATATGGTGAAAACGAAGCCAAGGATGCTTGACGACTGAATCGATATCCCATGGCCAACCATGGTAACTGAATATCCCAGTCCCCAAGATGCCCCTTCTGTAGGCCATACTTGCGCAACGCTCTCTTCACCGTCTGTACCATCCGCTCAGCCAAACCATCCGCCTCTGGATGATCTCGGGAAGTAGTCCGGTGATCAATCAGTGTCTTGTCACACAAGACCTGAAACTCACCCTGAAACTCTGTCCCCTGATCGGTCAACACCTCAGCTGGTGCACCAAAGTGACTAAGCACCCTGTCAAGGAAAGCATATGCTACTCCCTCACTCGCCTTGTCAGGTAATGCCACCAACTCAATCCACTTGGAGAAATGCTCCACCATCACCAACACATACCGATGATGTCGTGTAGTCAAAGGTAGTGGTCCAGCAAAGTCCAAACTCCAACGGTAACCCAATCCCATGATAGGTAAGGGATGTAACTCTGGTGTCGGGGCATTGAACGATGCCCTCACTCGATCACAAACCATGCAACGTGATACCAACTGCTGCACCTGCGTATGCATACCACGCCACCAATACTGACCTAGGAGTAAGCTGTACGTACGCTTCACTCCAAAATGTCCCAACTCCTCATGAGCATGCCTCACAATGCGTGCTCTCTGAGTTGGATGCGGTACTACCCGTACCCTACCGTCCTCCCACACTCGGAGAACATGTGCTCCCTCCAATCGATATCTCTTCGCCCTCTGGAGAACACGATCTCGCTCCTTGGCACCCACTGTGCCTGGCACCATACTGGTCCGTAGGAACTCCAACACCAACGCATCATCGTGAACATCACGCTGGTCCACACCACCATCCTCAACCTCAGGATCCGAAGACTGACTATCTACTCTCTGACTAGAGTAAGATATCAAGTGGTCCTCACTGCTAGAGGCCCCACAAAACCAACACATGAAGGCCGATGCATGAAGGAGAACACATGAAGGAGAACTCAGCCTGGACGAAGGAGTATTTATCGGTGCCAATAACTTGGATGGAGATTCCCTTTGACGTTTCAAGCCATCAAACAATGAAAAGTCCGATGATGCGGGAGTTTTGATTTTTGGGAGGGGAAGAGGAGAAACTGGTTGCGATGAACAAGAGTAAGCGGGCGAAGAACCAGAAGTAGGTGAGTCTAGCGGGGTGTACCCCAAAAGAGATTTGAGGAGATCGTCTCTGCTGGGTATGATCCACTTCGTTATCTGGACAGAGCAGGCTGGGCAAATTAGGGGCTTGCTGGGATCCGCATCCGCTCTGAGCGTCGCCTGCAGTCCACAATCGCATTCCACTCGCCTCCATTCCGAATCGTCTATGTTTATTGCGTGTCTAGGTAACTTGATTACCGCTTCTGTAGCCCAAGTTTCCGAGCTGGAATCAGATGCCTGAGAGGCTGTTGTCGTCAATCCACCCGGATTGCTGCTGGAGCTGGTAGCTCCTGTGCTCGGTCTGGACTCTGGTTGTGATACTCTGGTGGGAGCAGCTTGGTAAGGGATGAGTCTAGGTGTGAGCTTAAGACACGATGGACACACTGGAGGCGGATCTAAATCGTCCACTTTTTTACGCACAAATCCTGAGAATCCGCATTTGCAAGAGATTATTTTCCAGTCCCACGTTTTACCGGTGGAACAGGTGTTGCATGTAGTGGAGCTGGTGCTCTGAACAAAAAGCTCATAGCAGAACAAGTGGCAGGAATGGGCACAACCCCAAGGCTTGTGGGCATCCATGAGTGACATGAGCTGGAAGCATATGGTGCATGAGACTGATGATTTGAAAGGTTGATAGAGGGTTCTGTGAGCCAGGTGTGCTGGTCTCACAAGATGCACCTGTGTTGAATTTGTAGGGGGCTTGCGAGATGCGATCACCAGGTCTTTCCTCCGGTGAAATGTTGCAGGAAGTGGTATCCGATCTTGCTCGTCTTCGTCGTCCTCTGCCGATCCTCGAGGAATTGCCAACTCTGACTTCTTCTGCAGCTCCTCGTCCTCCAGCTTTCTCAAGTGAGTATACATAATCTCCAGGGGGACGTTCACCATAATCGCCACACTTGGAACCCACACCTTGATCCCTGTCCAGCCCAGCATCTTCACCTGGCCGAACACCCAGACGTGCCTGTCTCGTTTGACAATCACCACCTCCCCTACGAAATATTCAGACAACTCCACACGACGTCTCGGAGGAGGTACCACATACATGTGGCGCCCCAGCCCAGAACCCGTGCACCTTTCCTGCTTCTGCTGCCTGACAACGGGACAATTTCTTGGAGGCAGAAAATGCGACACGGAACCTTCAATTCGCTCTTCAATCTCAGATTTCTTCGTGTACTCGTGCACATGTTCGGCCTCGGCACTTGGAGTGGCCTGCGTTGGGTTGGTCCTAGACTCTCGTTCCAGCTGCGACGATGAGTTCGTTTGTTCCACCCCTTCCTTCCTTCCTTCACCTCGTGCATAAGGCTGCCCATAATTGCCTTCAGTGCTGTCATCCGAAGCAAATTCGTCGATATCGAATTCCAGGGGAGGAGCGAAACTGTCCAGACTCCGCCTACGAGCGCCAGATGTTCGAGGTGTGGCGCAGCACCCAGCTGCTTCGAGTGCTCGTATCAGCGCCGGCGTGGCAGCTTCCCATTCTTCGGCGTCTCTCTCTGCAATATCCCCTGGCTGAGAATCTGAAGAATCCGGCTGCCTTCGCCTTCGGGCGACGATATCTTCGAAGGATGGAAGCTTCATGTCGAATTTGGGTGTGTGGCAAATATCCTCCTGCCCGTTTCCGAGGTGTTGTGGACTGGCAGCATCAACTCCAAATCCACTTGAACTTCCTTGCGTCCTGGGATCCGCCACTGCTGTTCCATATTCTGGGCCATGGAGGGGGACGGGAGACGAATCTGAAATGGCTGATGAAGGGACTTGCGGTGCAGGGCGAAAAACATCCTCCTTCCTCACGATTCCGTGCTTGGCATCGTACTCGCTGGACAGCCTCCGCCTCCGAGCAACGATACTTTCCACTGAGGGCTTCATTGGATCTTTGCTCGTAAAAAATCTTGAGATTCAGTTGTTCTTCAATCTCTTCTCGTCCTCCGTCCAGATTCATCATGGTTGTCACCACCGATCGCTCGTTAATTCGTTTCGGAGAAGCACCCACTCGCTCAGAAAGAAAGTTCCTCACAAGCCCTGGCATTGAGGACGCCAAAAGACATTGATTTTAAGTTCCCGCTCCTAGAATGCAACACGGACAGAGCAGCCATCACAAACCTCTCCCCTGATCGTGATATGGAGGAACGAACGCCACGATCTGCAACACACTCCGACAGATTAATGGGTACAACCTGAAGCATTACATCCGCAGCAGTAGGCATGGAGATAAGAATTCTCGGCCTGTCCGATCGGAACACGCAGAAATTCGTCAGGCGAAGAAAAAACTCCGATGAGTGGGGGCCCAATTCGAGGACTCTGCAGCAAAGATTGCAGGCCAATGTTGCTTTGGAGAACAGTTGGGGGCTTGGAGACGGAAGAAGGCAGGAACAGAGCAGTTTGGTCGCATGGCCGAATGGCCGAAGAGCCTTGCCACGTGGCTGAAGTTGTCATTCCTCGTCACCCTGCCACAAGACCCGACCGAGTAAGTGCGCAGTGCGAAGGGGTCTGCGCAGTTATTATCCTCTGGTCCGCAGTAGGCTTGAAATCCCTTAAACGTTACACAAATTGCAACTCTGCGCGGGTAGGAACGATTTATTTGGTGTTAAACGCCGATAATTCAGTCGTAAACGCCGTAAAATTCGCCGTAAAATTCATTAGATGGAAACAACGCCTTGGACGTCTCCCTGATGCCGACGTCCAAACAGAGCCGTAAAATTCTTTGCGACTATATTTTAGGTGATTGATTCGAAATTTTAACAGTCGCATCTGGAAACTGAAGATTTATGATGTTATGATGGAGAATGATGTTTCTTTCGGAATTTATTATCCATCTCCCTTGACTTTCCAATGTATCTAAAGTCTCTAGTTCCAGAAAGGCTTATTAAAGCGGACTAGATCCACATCGCCCAGGGCGGTTTCTAAGTTCATGCAATTTAAAATTGCACTCTTATAGATGCACTGAGGTGTTTTGATTTATGCTTTCAAAGAGGTATCGTTGTGCATTTTTTTAGGTTTGAGAAATTTTATTTCATAAGTGGTTGTAAGTGGTACTTGTGTAAACTGTTTGTGAAGTATTTCAGTGAGTTGGAATATAAGGTGTCTGATACAGGGCTGCGCAGTTCGGCATACAATTGAGAAACACCAGAATAAAATTGCAGAATTCCCATTTGTGAAACTGCTGATTGTTATAATCATGAATCTTACTTACATATCCATTATCTTATTTATCCAATAATGATCCATCTTGTATATTTTTAAACTTAAATTATAAATAATTATTATTATATTCAATATCAAAGAATTATAAAAACACATATTTATTATACAAGACCCAAGCCAAACTAGCACCATATAACATTGAGTTGATGAAACATTGGATGGTGGAGATGCTAGGCCTGCATTGCACTTGACATTTATACCCGAACCCAAGCCATGCCCACGAATTGTGTGCTTGTGAGATACATACCATGGTTATAATATTCACTCGCCTAAATTACCTAAATATTAGTTTCTTACAGCATAAATTTAGACAAATTTAGTCTACTCAAAAACGTTAATTTAGGCTAATTTAGTCTTTTGAAAATTTTAATTTAGATTGATTCAGTTTCCTAAAAATTTAATTTAGATTAGTTTAGTCTCTTCAAAAAATTTATTTCGACAATTTTCAATACAAATTTTCTACAAAGTATTTAAAAAAAACAAAGTTTAACATAAAGTCAAAACAAAAATTGTTGTGACTCCATGATTACTTCTAATCCAAGGTTTTTAATACAAAAACTCTACTAAACATTTGTACATGCTTGAACAAAAGATTATTTTTTCTACATGACTCATTTGAATCCAAAGTTTGGTAGTTTTTTCGAAACAAATCTTTCTCCCAACACAAGATTGAAAAATCAAACTTTATTGTACTAGTTCCAAGAAAAAACCGTGCAACTACATCATAATATTGCATCAAATTCAAAAATTGAATACCAAATGAATATGAGACATACTTGAAACTTGAACGGTTGGAAGGCCAATCGACTACGTTCTTAATCAATGGCTCACATGTATAAGCATGGATTAGAGCTTTGTGCTCATAAACTATGATATAAATCTGATCATATAAATAAAAATGTTTCAATTGAAAAGCATATTGTCAAATCTTTCAAATAATATCTGTTACGGATAGTTTGATGAACTCATGTGGTAACATTGGAGAAATAGAATCAAAATCAATCATTGGATTGTTATTTCAATCTCGATAATCACAAATTTCAAGGATCCGATAGCAGACAATGACACAAACAAGAGCGATGTCTTGTTGAAGATCATTTAGATTGCTTTTAGTGGCTTCGTTAATTAAAGGTTCAACCCAAGAACCCAGACTAATGAAAAATTCTTGAAAATTGGACAAACCAAATGCATAATGATCGGCTATAACGTGAATGGATATATCAATATTTGCAATTTGATTTGCGTTGAACGGTCCAATTACTCCAACGTCGACAATGAAAGTTGCCACAAGGTTATCCAATGCATTTTGCTCCCGAAGTACAAGAGAAGTTAAACCTTGAATAATACAAAAAGTGATAGATGCTTGAATGGTGAAATGATTTATAGAAAAAAGTGCAATCCATCAAATTTGAGGTAGAGCGGAAACTGGCTGTTTCTAGATGATTTGAACAATCAATTGAGTTCGATGGATTTTGAAACAAGTGATTACTTTTTTGTGAAAAGCCAATGATTAACAACACGAGGGAATGTAGTTTGCATTTCCGCGATCAATTCTGCTGCCGTGTTTGGTGGCTAATGAATCCAATTATCACAAATGAAATTATTTTTTGATGACATTGTTCATTATTTCCTCCATAACAAGATCTAGTCGATGCAATCTGAGAAAATTCGAATTAAAGAACAATTCTTGTGCATTACGTCGGAAAGACGAATAACGACCCCAATAATCTATCAATCATATTGCGAGACCCGTCAATCGTCAAACCAAGAAGACAATTTGTTCAATCTAGACAGAGCACCCTAAAAAACTTGCTCATCATTATGAACAGAACTTCACATGTGTGACGATCAAACATCAGAAGTGCACAACCATGCAAGTAAACAATCAAATGATAGTTACGAATAAAAATTTGGAAGCTATGTCAAGAAATGAAGTGCTTTGATGTGTCGTTGAATCGAGTGCTAATGAAAATGATCACAAACGTCTAAGAAGTTACGCAATCTTTTGCAGAATGGCATCGCAGATTATCCGAACAAATTTACTAATTTCGTGATGAGAAGAGACACGTAAAGCAAGATTGCCCAAAACATCATATGTACAATTGACAAGTTTGGACGCTATAAGAAATGATGTACTGCAAGACATGTATCGCATAGCAAGGCAAAACAATGTTGTTTTTGTCTTGGAAATTGTCACTAAGTAAAAATATTTTATAGTAACATACTTAGATTCAACACGACAAAACAATGATAATACACGTGCTTTGGACTTGATTGCTTGTCTTCGTTAGATTAGTTGCGTATTATTTTCACTCATATTACCGAACAGATGTTCATCTTTTCCTTCATCTTTTACATTGCTTTCTTCTTGTTCTTCAAGGTTGAACATCAAATTTCTGATAATGATATCAATTATGTCTCATTCAATTTCATGTACAAAATCTCAATCAACTTTCAAACAAGATGGGAAATGGACTTTATGAGAATTTTTAAATGCAATTGGTCATTACTCAAAACATAAATTACTATCTGAAGAAGTTTCTAAGGTTTGATACACAAATTATAGTCTAGTGTGTTTGCTACAAAGATGATGTTCAATATTGTCATAATGAAAGTATGAATTTTATGCTTGACCAGAAGATGACATTTTTTGTTTTGAATCTGACTTTTACTCTTGACCAAATGTAATGCAAAATTTACATTGCACACCCATCACTTTTGACGATTTTAGATATCAAACCATAAATTTCAACCCAAATTTTTCATCATGTGCTTTCATGTGTGCAAACGAAAGTTTTTTTTCACTATAAAAATGGCAAAAAATTGATGCACATAGTGAACTTGAAATTTTTCCTTCTTTGCTGCATCATTTTAGCAGCATAAAACAAAACAAATAGAATATGTGATTTTCAAAATCAATAAAGACAAAACACCAACCATTAACATAAAAAAATAAGACAGTTAGGAAAAAAATGAACTTATTATTTCAAACCAAAAGCTACTTGACTGTAAGAAATGTGACATAGGTGAAACGGTCGATTTTGAACCTCCTCTGCATTAATGATAGTTACAACTATGCTATTGAGATTTGCCAGAAAACTAAGATGTGGATGAATATAATGTGGCCATCTACAGGTGACTGAAAAGATTGAAGCAATGTTCTCATAATTAGGTCTCTAGGATTTAAAGTCTATAAAATAGTAACCTCTAGATCCAGAACTTGTACTTGTAGTACAGTGAATCGCGTAAGGTCTGAAAATTTAGGACACTCCAAAAATCTATATATCAATCATTTTGTTGCTTTACTGCTCTGAACCTAATCACATTGTACAAGCCCCAGGATGAAAAGCCTCATTGTCTTTGAATGTGAGAGCGGAAGCCGGATCCTCGGGAAACAAGGAAATCAAATCTCTTCAAGAGATTAATCTTTGAGTTTATGAGCTGAAATGTAGCACCTGAGTGGTAGCTTTAGAGAGTACGAGACATCTTGCTGAAGTCATCTCAAGAGTAGAAGAGCATGCTCTTGTGTCACACAAGATCATGATCTCTACATCTCGTAATCGTCTGCGCTTAAAGGAAAGAAGGCCGGACGAGTTAGTTCACACGGGTCAGGTCATGAGAATGTAGCTTGGATTCGATATGATGATCCCAAATGTGTGTTGCTGACTAAAAGTGTCTTGTGATGAAACCATTGCGACTGTTGAAGCTTGGTTACTATACGATAATACTTTTTGTACAGGCTGGGATTAGAACCGTGGAGAACCAATGCGCTAAATCTTTTACAAAATGTTGATTCAGTTGGTGGATTTATGTCATGCAAAATGAAGTCGTGCAATAACGCTTTTACAGAATAGATGTACTACGAGCCAGTAGAGAACCAAACCTTCAACTCACGCAGAGAACTATACTTTACTCAAGGGTCTATAACCCGTACTTATTTCACACAAATTCTCTGAAGGCTGCGTGAACGCATACGCTCAACGCCACTGCATCGGGTGGGGACTGCGGAGTGATGGTTGCTGTTGCTAGTGAATTATCATGTCTTCAAGGCCTCTGCAAATCGACATACAAACGTTGATTGTGTGTTTCAGAACCTTAAAGAGTTTTCGTCTCCGGAATTCCGTGCCAAGATTTCTGTTCTACCGATTGCAT